GCTGCTGCTGCTGCTGCAGCACAGAGGGGGTTGCTGCTGCTGCTGCACGTTTGCTGCGGTTCTGGTTGATCAGCAGCAGCGTGGCCGGTGGGTTGTGCCTGGGGTTTAGGGTTTAGGGTTTAGGGTTTGGAGTCGAATTTGCTGCTGCGGTGTTTGGCTCAGGTTTTACGAGACAGTGCGGGGACTTGATGAAGTGAAGAACTTGAATATGCTGCATGTGAAGTTGGTTTTTGAGTCTTTAAAAAACGCGGACACCAAACCTGCTGCTGCTGCTGCTGCTGCTGCTGCAGCAGACGGGAAGCAGCGCAGCAGCCGCAGCAGCAGAACAGACCCGGACGCAGGCGCCTACCGCAGCAGCAAACACGACGACGCCACCAGCAGCAGCAGCAGCAGCAGCAGCAGCGCGAACCACCACGGCTCTCACAGAGATAGAGAAAGAGAAAGGGAAAGAGAAAGAGAAAAAGAAAGAGAAAGAGAAAAAGAAAGAGAAAGAGAAAAAGAAAGAGAAAGAGAAAGAGAAAAAGAAAAAGAAAGAGAAAGAGAAAGAGAAAAAGAAAGAGAAAGAAAAATCCCAAGAACTCACAACGACCGCAGCGTGAGCCACGCCCGCGAGCTGCAGCGGGAGGCTGAGGCGGAGCAGCAGCAGCAGCAGCAGCAGCAGCGGAAGAAGCGGAGCGCCGAGGAGGACAGGCGGAGGCGCTGAGGCCGAGAGCAGCAGCAGCTGCAGCAGCAGCAGCAGCTGCAGCGGAGCCGCTGCTGCTGCTGCTGCTGCTTCTTTTATTGTTATTTATTGCTCTTCATTTGACAGCAGCAATTAGTTTGGGCACTTCAGCTGGCCGCGCAGTTAGCAGCAAAAGAGCCGCAAGAAGTGACTGACACGCGTTGAGGTCGTTTGCAGCAGCAGCAGCAGCAGCTGCTGCAGCAGCAGCAGCAGCTGCTGCTGCTGCAGGTCTTGCAGCCGAAGCGTCGCTGCATGCACAACGCATTGCCTGTGCCTCCAGAAGTGCATGCGAAGGCACAATTGGGGAGGAAGTCCATTAAAATGGGAACTTTGGAGTTTAATTGAATAAATTTACTTGAAATATTCATTTGTTTATTTATTTATTCAATTCCGCCATTTTGCATGCATTTGGCCGCGGGCCGGTCTGCGGGGCCTGCGGAGGCGAGGCCCCTCGGGTGTATGTACAGCTGCTTCCGAAAGATCCGAACCTTTTCGCAGAGTTTGTGGGATTTGTTGGAAGTCATTTTCATTTATTTACTTCTTTTGTTCTGCTTCTTAGCTCGCCATTTGTTCCTTTCTTTTATTGTTCTTAGCTCGCCACTCAGTGCGGGACTTGCTGCTGCTGCTTAGCGCTTTATTTGGGCCTTTAGCAACTTCTCTAGCTGAAGTTTGCTGCTGTCCAACGCCCAGCAGCAGCAGCAGCAGGTGCTGCTGCTGCTGCTGCTGCTGCTGCTCTTCGGCAGCAGCAGCTGTCCAACACTTGCAGACCCCTCACCCCCATTTCCCTGGTCCCTCCTGGCGCACAGAGGCAGTCCAGCTGCTGCTGGAGCTGGCTGCTGCTGCTGCTGCAGCAGGCAGACATCGCTGCTGCATCAGCCGGTGCTGCCTGTACACTGTAGTAGACTGAAGCAGTGCAGCAAATAACAAGCTCCTTTGCTGCTGCTGCTGCTGTCTAGAGCCTCCTCTTGAAGGGCTAGAGGCTGTGTTAATCGGAGTGAATAAATAAAACATAAAAAGTATTTATTTAAAAGTAAAATGCTCTTCAGCAAATGGACTTCGAGTGGTCACCCCGCTGCTTCCCAGTGGTCAGTTCTGCTGCAGCAGAGAGCCGCCGCTGCAGCAGCTCGCTGGCGGAGGTGAAGTTCTCGTTTATTAAATGAATTCTTTTCGCATTTTAATTCATTTAAATGTTTAATTTAATTTTACAATTAAATTAAAAAGAGAATAAATGCTAGCGGGCTCTTTTATTCCTTCTCCGGTCACCTCCTGAACAGCAAGCAGCCCCAGCGTGCTGCATGCAGCAGCAGCAGCAGCAGCAGCAGCAGCAATTGCTGCTGGCTGTCGCCTTCCTTTCCTTTGACTTCTTTTTATTTGTGGCGAATTTATTAAAAGCTTTTCTGCAGCAGCAGCAGCAGCAGCAGCAGCAGCAGTTTGTTGCGGCTGCTTCTCCTTTTCGCGTTGCGCCCATCCTTTTGCAGCTTTCCGCGCTTTCTGTGCAAATCCTTTTCTGCTTTTCCCTTTCCTTTTATTTTCTTCTATTTTTATTTGCTTTTATTTATTTTTGTTTATTTTTATTTGTTTTATTTGTTTTTATTTATTATCGCAGCTTAATTGCCTCAACACCCCCAGGGGGGCCTCGGCCGCTGGGGCTGCGCCGCTGTGAGGGCCGCAGCCTCGCTGGCTGGCCCGTGGCTTTCAGTGGCCGGCGCTGCAGCAAAACAGCAGCAGCAGCTGCAGCAGCAGCAGCGGGTGTCTTCGCTCGGGGCAGCGCCGCGCAGATAGGCTTGCTCAGGGAGCTCGAAGGGCGACAGTAGCAGCAGCAGCTGCTGCAGCACCACCAGCGCCAACAGCAGCAGAAGCAACAGCAACGACAGCAGCAACAGATACAACAGCAGCGGCACCTGTAACAACTGCAGCAGCAGCACCAGCTGCAGCAGCAACAGCAACAGCAGCAGTAGCAACTGCAGCAGCAACACCACCTGCAACGGCACCGGCAGCAGCAGCCTTAACAACTGCAGCGGAAGCACCAGCAGCAGCAGCAGCAGCAGCAGCAGCAGCAAGTTGAAAATGTCTGCTGCTGACGTGCACAGCATTTTGTACAGAGGGGAAGATCCTCTGAAGAAGAAATTTGTCCCCAAAAATGAACAGAAGACCCACGTGCCCAGGCACTGGCCCGGCAAGGTGAGGCAGCAAACTCAGCAGCAGCAGCAGCAGCAGCAGCAGCAGCAGTGGTAGCGGCAGCAGCAGGAGCAGTGCTGCATGCGCCGGTGCTGCTGCTGCTGCTGCTGGTGCTGTGTCTATCTCTCAGCTTCTTGTTGCTGCCGCTTTTTATTCCTTTTTCCTCTTTTCAAGTTTTCAACTGTTTGCTTCTTCACTTTATGTGTTTATATACAGAAATTAATCAAAAGTTATATAACTAAATGTACATTTATTATTTAAATCCTATTCTTTATTTTCGTCCGTTGCTGCTGCCGCTGCTGCTGCCGCTGCGCTGCTGCTGCTGCTGCTGCTGCTGCTGC